CCCGGGCTACTCAGCAGTGACTGCGGCAAGCGCCGGGGGCCTTTTCACAGACTTCACGTGTCCTTCACACTGTTTCCTCAGCTCACCCCAAAAGGCCACCGAGCAGGGTGTGCAGAGTCATGGTGAGACAGCGCCCCGAGCGGTGTCCACATCCTCCACCCCAGCTCTCCGCAGGAGGACGGCCCCGAACACTCTCTCCTCAGGACTGAGAGAGTCCACACTTCACCTCACCTTGGCCGACATGTCGGTCACCGCAGCCAAGCCCAGGAAAGTCTCATGACACGATCTGGAAACAACGCCGCCTCTCCCGGCCGGAGACTGCTTGATGCTCATCCCTGCTTGTGAGAAGGTGAGCAGCTCCTCCTGGCCTGCTCTCGGGATGTATTTTCTGTCTCTCAGGATGTTCCACATAATCTTGCACACATCCAAGTTTTTACAGATTTGTTTCATGAATCTACACATATTTATTATTAGTATTCTTCAAAATGATATCACAAGTCAGATTAATTTATAACTAAGGATTTGATAAGGTAACTCTAGCTCAATTATTTGGCTTTCCACAATACTCGTTTAACGAATATTTAAGATTCATTTATTTATGCACACAAGAGCTGGGGTACAGGCCGTAGATGCCGGGGGTTGAGAGGATTCACCAGAGACAGAGCAGGGAACAGAGCAGGCCGACTGACAAAATACATTGATGAGGGGCGCAGCAGGCCGGTCAGGAGAGGTCTGAGGCACATGGCAGTCAGCTCCCTGGCTGGCTGGGGATCCAACTTGTGCACAGGGCTGAGAGTAGTTTGAGAGCACTGTGTTTAACCCCTGGGCCACCAGGGAGGCCCCTTACCTTTAGTTTGAGATCAGAAGTGTGACTCCTTCATTTCCCCCCACTTTTAATCAGGAAAGCTTTGGTTATTTGGGGTCTTATGTGTTTCCATATGAACCTCAGTAATCTTTGTTCTATTCCTTTGAAGAATGCCATTGGGATATTTATTGGGGTTGCAGTGAATCTAGAAGGGGCTTTGGGTTGGATGGCCCTTTGGACAATGTTGATTCTTCCAACCCATGAGCTTTCTATTATTTTTTTCCACAATGTTTTATAGTTTTCCTTGTAAAAGTCTTTCACCAACTCTGTTAAATTTATTCCCAGTTAATTTTTTTGCATGTGCAATTGTAGGTGGAATGGCTTTGTTAATTTCCTCTTCTAGTTCATTATTTGTACTTAGGAAGGCATAAGTTTTTCAATGCAAAGTTTGGTGGCATTACATACACTCACTCTGTCGTGTAACTCTTATTTCTGAAACCAGGGTGTCCCAAAGGCTTATATACATCCCCAGAATAGACCTGCGTTCTTTCTGCTCATTGCTTAACCCTTTGCACTCCGCTGTACCCTCTCAGGGAACATCGCAATTTATTAGTGATTACGGGGAATTGAGTTATTTCAACGCAACTTTTTGAGACATGCACGTTTCCCTGAAGTTTTATCTTGAAATGGCACAAGAAATTAAATCAAAATATTGTAAAATTACTAAGATATATACAAGAAATGTCAGCGGGTTTTGTGTCGGACGAGAACGTGAGATGCGTGCTCACGATGGTCCCAGCACTTCACAACGCCACTTGAAAAGAGCGATAAGGGGAGTTTGTAGAAGAAAGGTCGGTTTTCAAACATAGCGCGCACTGTATAGTGAGATATATAATTACAAATAAACAAGTCTACATCTGGAGGAAAAGATTTTCAAAGCTGAGCTCATTTTTGTTTGAAGCTTCAAGCAGTGCACAGATCTAACGAGGAGAAAATAGGAAAAGTGATTCTTTTCTTAGTGAATAAATTGTTTGGTGAAAGCGATTTTGGTAAATATCATCTTGTCAGTTAGTAATAACAATTAGAAATTTTCAACCCATTCATTTATTCATTTATTCATTTATTCAATGGCAAAGCGTCCAACCACGAAGGAGTCTCATGACACAAGTAGTAGTGAAGATGTGCTCCACTAATCAGCCTGCAATGCATATTGGGGAGTGTTACAAAACTTATCATACTGTAGAAAATTATAAACTATAAAATATTGTTTTTTTTGCAAATATACATTCCTCGATGTCACCCAATTCATATAAGTCCAATATCATTATAATACGTTACTTGGTTCCAAAATTATACTAAATAATACGAGGGTCTGTAAATGCACATTTCCGCCGCAAAGTAGCATCGAGTAGCTGGTAGCCAATGTCCAGAATGGTTCGGAGTGCAAAGGGTTAACTGTAAACAAAGTCAAACTATTCTTTGTCTTCTAGCCTGGCTACATTACCAAGACGAACATGTTCTTCCCCAGCAGTTCTGCTTCTCCAGAGAAAGAGAACCTCCCAGCCCAAGACCGGCCATCCACCTCAGTATCTTATGGGTACACTCCCTTTCATCCAGGGGATGAACTTAGGGGTTGGGGCGACCAAGGGAGATGGCACAGACCTGCAAGTAGCACACACCTCTTGTCTCCATATCCAAAGGATAAGCGCCCCACACAAGAATGGACCCATAGCCTCCCTGCTCTGTCTCAGACCGTGAAGCTGAGCCACAGCCACTGCAGCAAGAGCTCCATCCCCAGCCAGGGAGCTGACCCACAGGGCGCAGCAGACCTCTCCTGTCTCCCCGCGGCTCCCCTCAGCAGTGGATTTCAGCGGATCTGCCTGTTCTGCTCCCCACTCGTCTCTGAAGAGTGCTCCCCCGCCCTGGTCCACTCCCTGTCCCTGGAGCTCAGGGCTCCTGTAGTGTCCTCACCGCTGGAGCGTGGACAGTGTCTCTGGGCTGTGCTGATGCTGCACATCCTGACCCCGGGATGCGGCTGAGCTGGGCAAGGTCCCTACGGAAAACGGTGGAGGCCTCTCCTGGGCCTCCGCCGACAGCATCACCACCCACCTGGGCCGCCCACCCATCCGCAGAGGCCTCACCCGCCACACCCCTGGACGCCCCAACACAACTGCAGGGGGACGTGACACGACCCCCTGAACCCCTCACCTTCAGTCCAGAGAGTGACCCTTCCTGCAACAGCCCACATGGGTCAAATCACAGCAACAGACACTTCCAGGGAACGTGGCACTAGCAGAGGAATGTTGTCTTAGCAAACCCTGCAGGCCTCTTTGGACAAAGTCTGAGGTGAAGGCTGAGGGGACGATGCCATCTTTAATGGGCGCTCGAGGACACCTAGGAGCCTGCAGCATCGTGGAAAGCGGCCTGCGGCCGGGGGTGAAAACCTCAGCAACCTCCCATGGCGTGTTGAGGAATATGGCCCTTGGCCCCGACACTCCAGGTGGAGTATGAAGGGACCAATGTACCTCCCCCTGCATCAGGGAGGATGCTCTCAGGGGACAGACACCCCGTCAGTCACTGACCTGGAAACACAGGACGGGGGCTCTGGCCGTAGAGATGTTCCTGATGGAGGAAGCGTAGAGGGCATGGACAGGGAGGAGCAGGCGCCCAAGTCCCAAATCCATGATCAGAGAAACAATCCCCGATGGACGGGCCCCGAGCCCAGCCCTGTGGAGAGGACGCCGCGGAGCCGACACAGGGCACGACTGCAAACCCACAGACCGAGGCTCAGCGTGGACATGCAGGCGAGTAACGGGGGCAAACTCCGCGGGGCTCGGAGCCTCAGGAGAGCCCTCAGGCCTAGCCCTTCAGCAAGAGACACGCCGCAGAGACCCCCACGACCAGCCCCTGCTCCCTGCCCACCACCGCCGTGGGAGCCCCTGTTTCTTGGCCCCAGCGGCCACCCCTCGGGACCATTCTGCTCAGGGAGCTTTCTTGTCCTTACTCCTGTGAGTAAATCTCTGGCTCATCTGGAACTCTGGGCTCCACTTGGAAGTACTTTCACACCAAAGACAAGAAATGAGGAAGAGCACACCCGAGGCCTCAGACTCTGGGCCTGCTGCTCAAACTCTCTGCTGGGCATCACCACAGCGCCAAAGAAACACACCAGAAGGCGCCCGGGGCCCCTGAGGGGGGAGTGGTAGCGAGAGTGACATCAAGGACTTCCTCGGCCACCACCTTCCACACCGACCACTCACCCCAAGGTATGAACTGACTCAGACAAAGACCACATTCAGGGCACGGCCAGCAACGGCGGAAGGGATTATGTTCTGAACAAAGAGTGAAGGAAAAAGACCTGGATTACATCATCACCTCCGGGAGGAATACAGGGGAATGAAGAAAGGGTCAGGGAAAAAAGACAAAACTAGCAGGCATATGACAGAGCTGAGACGCCAGCAGGGGATGGGGCAGAAGAGGGGCCAGGAGGGGAGGAGGCGCACCAGAGCCTGGGGTGACAGGTCACAGGGGCGGTGCAGACAGGACATTTGCAAGAATTATACAGAAGGGGAGCAATCCAATATTGCACAAAGATGAACGATTTAATAAAAAAAATTAACAGGCAAGAATCCTTTCCTTTAAAAAAAATTCAGGGGCCTCTGGTGGCAGAGGGGTGAAAGTCTCAGCACTATGAAGCTGTTCGCAGTACTGCAGACACGAGTTTGATCCCTGGCCAGGGAGGTGACCCATGGGCACAGTAGACCTCTCCTGTGTCCCCACTGCCCCCCTCAGCAGTGGATTTCAGTAGATCCGCCTGTTGTGCTCCCCACTCTCTCTGTGGAGAAACCTCTCACCCCCTCATACCTCTGGCTTGCACCCCAGATCTTGTATGCAGAATTAATCTTCCAACAAAATTCCCTTAGTATGTAGAACTGGGGTGTAGACCAGAGGTTAGGGGGTGAGAGGATTCACAAGATACTGAGTGTGGTGACAAACAGGCAGAACCAATGAAATACCTGGCTAATGGGAGCAGCGGGTGACACATGAGAGGCCTGCTGAGGCCATATGTGGGGCGGCTCCCTAGCTGGGGCTGAAACCCTGGCCTGAGCAGGCAATAGCGCTGAGACTTACCCTGAGGCCACCAGGGAGGCCCCGAAAAACTTTCACCATGAAAGGTAGGTAAAGACAGCTGCAGACCTCAACCTATAGCCGAGAGCACACAGTTCAACATTTCCTTCTAGAGGAGGACATTTTGGTGGTGAGCAATTCCAGCATCAGGGGGCACCACAGAGACTTAGAGTACTGGACAGAACGTGACGACTAAGAAAACCCAGAGAGATCACTTACCCACGCAACATGCAGTGTGCCATGTAGACAGACAGCTGCTGTGAACAGGCATAGCATCGCCCAGGAACTTAAGAGGATACTAGAAGCAACAGCACAGGAACAGCGACATCATCACTGCATGAACTTGGGAGAACAGAGTGAACCAGGTAACTCCACACAATTAGGATTGAAACTCTATGTCAGTTCTCATTGCTCTCAGCTGCATGGTGTGGTTTGAGCTACTAAGTTTGAAGATTTTTTTAAAAGATTTTTATTTATTCAAGCATAAAAGAACCAGGGTACAGGCCAGATGTGTGGGAGGGTGAGAGGGTGCACCAGAGACAGAGCGGGGAACAGAACAGGCAGACTGACCGAAATACACTGCTGAAATACACGCAGCGGGCCAGACAAGAGAGGTCTGCCGCACCATGGGGCTGCTCCTGGCCGGCCAGGGAATCAAACTCCCACCGCAAAGGCCACGGACAGCTTCACAGCGCTGCGTTCAACCGCCTGCACTACCAGGGGAGGCCTGCCTGCACACTCTTCACATTCACAGCATTTCCCTCCAGTGTGAAGTTTGTCATGCCTAGTGAGGGCTGACTTCCTGAAAAGTTTTCCCACTCTTCACAATCATAGGGATTTTGTCCAGTGACATCTCTGATGTCCAGTGAGAGCTTGCTTATTGGAAAAAATTTTCCCACACTCTTGACACTCATAAGGCTTCTCCCCACTGTGACTTCTCTGATGTTTACTGAGGGATGATTTCTGGCGGAAAGCCTTCCCACATTCTTGACATTCATAGGATTTCTCTCCAGTGTGAATTCTCTGATGTTTAGTGAGGGATGATTTCCACTGGAAAGTCTTCCTACACTCTTGACATTCATAAGGCTTCTCTCCAGTGTGAATTCTCTGATGCTCACTGAGGTAAAACTTACTGGAAAAAGCTTTCCCACACCCTTTGCATTCATAGGGTTTCTCTCCAGTGTGACTTCTCTGATGGACACTGAGGGATGACTTCCTAGAAAAAGCTTTCCCACACTCTTCACAATAATAGGGTTTCTCTCCAGTGTGACTTCGCCGATGGTGACAGAGAGATGATTTCCAGAGGAAAGTCTTCCTACACTCTTGACATTCATAAGACTTCTCTCCAGTGTGACTTCTCTGATGTTGACTGAGGGATGATTTCCATTGGAAAGTCTTACTACACTCTTGACATTCATAAGGCTTCTCTCCACTGTGGATTCTCTGATGCTCAGCATATCTCTTATATCCCAAATTATTCTTTCCTAACTGGGTACTCTCACGAGGATAGGTGTGAAATGTGTTTCTGAGACTGGCCCCACTTTCATAACATTCCTGCTGCTCATGTTCAACATACCTAGGAGAACTCAAATGCACTGGAGTCATCTCTGCAGCTCTCCCCTTTTCATTACAACTGCAGCAAGTCTGTCCTCCTTGGGTTCTGTCTCGGACAATGAAAGGTACCTCATCACGGGTGCCCCTGCACACATTGCATTTACGGACAATCCCTTCCAGAAGGGCTCCTCTAGGTGTAAATACTGTTTCTTCACTCATGACTTTTCCTTGTTCACAAAATTCAAAAGACTGTTGAAAGTTCTGAATCACCTGGTGACTAAGGTGCTCAGGATACTTGATGGGTTCCCTCATTCTACAAAAGACTTCCTCGTTCTCTCCAGCATGCCCTTCATGAGGCTCACCAGGGATCATCATGTTCCTATGTATAGTAAAGTTCTCAGGCATCATTGCTGAATTGTTTTCATTTTTGATACTATGGTTCAAACAATGAATTGAGTGCAAATTGCTTTTTTCCATTAAGTCAGTACTCTCGTTGGATGGTATTTTGCTGCTGGTGGTAAGAACTTGCCACACATGTCTGCCCTGATTTGCAGGGCTGTCCTGAGTCAGGTGATCCACAGTATGGACATCTAAAGTGAGATAAAAATGGCCATGTCTCTAAAAAGTAAGCATTCTGAGTGAATACTACTAAGCGGCATGAAAGTTCCTATATTACAACATAATTTACAGGTATTGATTTTCTGATTCATGCTTTTTGCCCATAGTAAATTATGGGGAGAATAGATTTTTTGGTATTTTTTTATTTTAGCATAGGAGATCTGGGGTGTAGGCCAGAGATGCAGGAGTGTGGGTGCTGTAGTGGAGCGTGCTGTAGGGGAGTGTGTTGACCAGAACAGGTGGACTGACTGAAATACACTGTTCAGGGAGCAGCGGGTGAAACAGGAGAGATTTGCCGCGCCAAAGTCGGTGAACTCCTTCACTGTGGATCAAACTCAGGCCATAACAGTGAGAGCTAAGACACTTAATCCCTAGGCCTCCAGAGAGGCCCCAATTACAGATTTTTTTTAATGCCAAACCAGGATAACAAAGCAGTAAAACTAATTTCATAATGGTTTTATAAAATCATAAATATTTGGTAAATATAGTCTTTTAACTAGAGTTGTCGATTTCAACCAGAAGAATTTCACCCAACATAGATCCTACACACTTTCTTTCTTAGACTGAACCTGTGCAGCTCTTGCGGGTACTTTCTGAATAACCAAGCCCTGCAGAGGCCATGGCTTTCGCAAAAACCTGTGGACTGAGAGACTCAGTCATTGCCCAGGCACTTCAAGCAAGAGGCCTGTTGAGACACAAGGACTCTGCTTCTCCATTTCCTTAGTTCTTCTTTCAACCCGCCCAGGCCACGGTCACCTGCAGAGGGTCTCAGAGGCATGCGCTTCCCTCCACGGCAGAGACCAGTCAGTTCATATTTAAATATCATATCACATAAGGCTCAGAATCCTAATACATGCAGCAAACTCCGCCTCATCATTGTGTCCCACGTCCCTGCTAAGCGATAGGAAAAAAGTTCTCCATCCATCCTGTGCTATCAGCATTAAAGTCTTTTCTCACATCCTTCTGAGAGCAACACCCTGGTGTTCAAAACGCACTCCCTGGAAACTGTGTTTCTGCATTGTTCATAGCAGCTCCAGTTTCTATGTCGTGTGTGACTCTCAGCTACATCACACTGTCGTCGATTCCTTTACTTTCCTCCCAACGATTCCCACGAGAAGGTGGAATTGCACAGGTCACACTGCTCCCCAAGGTATGAGCCCCCAACCTGAAACTCTTGGTGCCATGGCTTTAGAAACCACCACCTCAGGTTCCTCCTCCCATGTCACAGAACATCCCTTCCAACGCTGAACAATTCTGGGTTCTCCTCAGCCTCACATTTACTATGAGGGCGGTCACAAGGCTTGCCCCTGAAACACTACTCATGTTCTAAATAACTCTCCAGTCAACGCCTCTCTATCCCTTTTGAGTTAGTCACCTGCTCAGTGACATCTCCAATAGAAATACATAGCCTCTACCCCAGTCTGCAGAGGGAACTATAGATATGACATGTCAGTGCAACCCATTCACCTCACCTGAGCTCTGAAAGAAAAGAATTAATCTCTATAATGATGCATACGGAGCACACACACAAAAACAACATCCTCCACTTTGTTTCACTCATGCTGGTCAAACATCCTCTGTGGCTTTACCTCTCTATTAATAAATGTATTTATTACATATTCTTTCCTCACAGAATGTATAACTTCAGAATGTAAAGATCATTTTTGTGAGTACTGTTGCTCCCCCCTCTCAGAAAATTTACCACTGGTTAAACTTCCCATAAACATACGGAAAGAATAAAAAAATTCCTCAACAGTTACCTAAAGAAAACAGTCTATGAGAATAAACTAAGAGAACAGAGAAATGTGATTACTGCAGAATAATCCCCACAGTATCAGGGACTGCATACTGGTTTAAGAACATAGACAACCATCATTAAAAGAGCAGTATGAAATTCACAAGAGAGTAGTATTTGGGAACTGAATAAAGAATCAGTTTGATATATGCAGACACACTGTCCAAGGTTGGACACTGGAAAAGCACCTCAGTTTGGCCAATATCACTGGCCACACTCCCAGCCTCCTCTCAGCCTCCCGGCCTGGCAAGCACTGACTGACCTGAGAGGTCCTGGTTTGGGGGAACGTCCACAGTCCACGGCTGTAATCCCTGCTCCGACCTGATGCTCTCCTCAGGATCGGTAACACAGTGCCCTGTGATGAGAAACAGTGTTGGTCTTCAATCAAGTTCAACTTCAGTCTTTGAAAACTAACAAATGCAGTGTGAAGAGCTGTGCAAAAGAGTCCAATCTGAATCTTTCCAAACAAAAACCGAAACACCCACAATGTACACTGCCTGCCATGTTCAACCTCACCAACACTCAGTTTCATAAGCAAGTGCACACTTATCGGTGCAGAAGACAGCATTGCACTAGAGTGTTACACTGGAGCTTCCTCACCTAGGGACACTAGGTGATTGCAGGTCTCCAGCATCACATCCCAGTACAGGGTCCTCTGAGCTTCACTCAGGTACCGCCACTCCTGCCATGTGAAGTTCACAGCCACATCTTCAAATGACACCATCGCTTCTGAGGGAACATTTCTCATCTCAGGGCCGGCAGCCTGGGTCAGACAGAGCAAGTGCAAACACATCTTATTTTGTGGGTCTTCGGTCCTATATAGAATTTACAGTTGAAAGAGCCTTGCCTCTACATTCACCCCTTTGGTCCTACAAGTAGAACTATAGCTTACCTTATGTATTTGAAGTGTCTATGATTCTAAGAATAAAAGGATGAATAAAATGGCTCCTTGAGGAGCTGATAGCCTGGCTGGCATGTGTAACAGACACACACCCGGAATCATGTTCTAAAGGAATTTCATAACAAATGAAAAGCATGTGCAACTTTATGCCAATATTTTACTCCTGTGACCTCAAAGCCTGGTATCTCCAACTCACAGTAAACAAAAACTGAACCCGAAACCAGAATGTTCAAGCAATGAGGTGGGAAAAAGCACAGGTATGAGATGTTCAACTACAAGCAAGTATAAACCAGAGATGCACTATTGGGGTGGGGAGGGATTAGGGTCAAAATAAGGGGGTGGGATGTATGGGGACTATAACCAAGATGAAAATGCATAACTTGTGCAGAAATAAAAAAATGATGTAAAATATATATAAAAGAAAATTTTAAGAAAAGATGTTCTGCTGACAGAGTCTGAAGAAGACAGAACAGGTCATCACTTCTCAAATGGAAGGACAAAGGGGAGGAGAACTTGGCAATAACTTGGTGGCTGAGGTACGAGGAATGTTTTCCTAATATGCTGTCCACATGATGGGCTGGTAGACACTGGAATTCACACACAACTGGACATGTGTCTGATAGATCAGGAAGTCTAAGCTGAAAACAGAAATTTGGGAATCAGGGCCTCCCTGGTGGCACAAGAGTTTAAGTCTCAGCACTATGAAGCTATCGGCAGCTGCTGCAGCACGAATTCGATCCCCAACCAGGGAGCTATCCACAAGGCGCAGCAGATATCTCCTGTCTCCCCACTGCTCCCCTCAGCAGTGTATTTCAGTCAGTCTGCCTGTTCTGTTCCCTGCTCTGTCTCTGGTGAATCCTCTCACCCCCTGCACCTGTGGCCTACACCCAAGCGTTTATATGCATACATAAAATAAATATTAAAGAAAAGAAAGAATTTGGGAATCTCCAGGATATTGTTGATAGTTTTCATCACCGTAGGGGAGAACACAGTGACCAGAACAAAAGGTATCGAAAGAAGAGGAAAAACAACTAGAAGAGACAAATATTTCTTTTGGAGAAAGAAAAAAAAATAGATCATAGCAATAAAAGAGTTTTGAAAAATAAGATACACGGTATAAGAAAACAAACATCTTATGAAATCCGTAAATTCATTCCATCATTTCCTTTCCTGTGAGGGGAGCAGCAGATAAGTCAAGGAGAGGTCTGCTGTTTCATGTGTTCAGCTACCTGGCCAGAGACCAAACGATAGCTTGGAAATCACCAACAAGAAAGGAGAGAGGAATTAAAGCATATAAGAAAAGGTCAAAAAATATACAGTGATGCAGTAGGTTGGAAATGGGGTATAAAATGGCTGAGAATACTGCATCCGCAGTGGCGCAGCGGGTGAGCGCTAGGTCGTGAAGCTGCCCGCAGCCTCTGCAGCGCTGGTTAGATCTCCGGCCACCAGCGAGGTCCCGCATGTTGCGCAGATCTCTCATGCTGCCCACTGCTCCCCTCAGCAGTGTACTTTGTCAGTCTGCTTGTTCTGTTCTCCGCTCTGGTTCTGGTGAATTCTCTTACCCTCCCATACTTCTGACTGCACCCTGTGCTTGAATAAATAATAAATAAATCTTAAAAAAAATAAAAAATTAGGGCCTCCCCGGTTGCGCAGTGGTTGAGCACTGGGTTGCAAAGCTGCCCACGGGCTCAGAGGCACCAGTTCGATCCCCGGCTGCTCCCCGACCACCAGAGGAGGGTCCCACATGGCGCGCAGACCTCTCCTGCTGCCCGCTGCTCCCCTCAGCAGTGTACTCAGGACCATCTGCCTGCTCTGCTCCCCGCTCTGGCTCTGATGAATTCACTCACCCTCCCTCACTTCTGATTGTACCCAGTGCATGTATAAACAAATGAAATAAATAAATAAATAAATAAATAAACATGCCTCTATAAAAAAAATATAAAAAAAAATGACTGAGAATCGAGGAACCACTCTTTAATAAAGTTAACACCTCCCTTTCAGTAATACTTTGGTGTAAATAAAAGTCCACAATACAATGGCAAATGTGTCTGAATGAATTAAAAATAACACCAATTCAATCTTACCTATATGACACTCAACATAGCCTTCAGCGCACTATGTGGAATGTAAGGATGGAACTAGATTCTATGAAGACTAATCATGAAATTGGAGCTGTGTGGATCACTCTAATGATATTATCTCAGGCTAACGCATCACAGAATGAAAGAATGACCCCAGAAAATAACAGAAAACTACCTGTTTTGAGAAGTCATTGTAATATTATCTATACACTAAGATGAGGTCCTGAATGTGTGCCACAAAGAAAGACAGAACTCAATGCAGAAGATGAAAACAATAAAATCAAGGAGAGGTTCAAGGCCCAATTGCAATTGGAAGGAAAATAATGTTATAAATTCAGGAATCAGAGTTGACAAACGGGTGAAAAATAATTTGAAAAAAAAAGATTTGGTATATAGACAGGATGAAATACTACTAAGCTATGAAAAGGGATACATCTATCCTGTGCAACAACAACAATGGAATGCTGGGGGTGGATTATGCTCAGTGAAAAGAATCAGAAGGAAGAAGACTTACTGGATGAATTCACTCCTATTTGGACTTTGGAAAAACAAGGCAAAGAAACTGACAATACAAACCAAAATAAACTCTAGGATAGGACTGCAGAATGAGGGTACAAAGAGGGAAGGACAGTGGGTGTGGGTGGGTACAAAAGTGGCAGGGGACTCAAAGATTTATGGAGAAGCCCACAATGCACTGGTGGTGGGTATGGGGTGACAGACATCTGAGGATATGATAATCTATTCCCTGAATAACGAAGAGTGAGGTAAACCCATGGTACCTTGATTCCAAAAAACTAAGCAATACTGAGAAAACATTGCAACAAAGCAAACTCCCCAAAACTTGTGATTCAGAAAACAAGACTAAGAGGTAATTTTAAAGCATTAAACAATTACACTAGCAATAAAAGAGATCTCAGTTGAGCAATGTAACTTCACACCTCCAGGAATTAGAAAAAGAACAATTTTAGCTCCATATTGGCAGAAAGGAGGACATTGAAAAAAATAAGAAATACATAAATAGAGCATTATGACCAAGAATCAGTTGCTTCTCTATGAAAGGAAGTCTGGATTTTGAAAGATCAACAAAATGGACAAAACCTAAGTTCAATTCAGTAAGAAGGAAAGACAGAGGACTCAAGTATCAGAGAGGAGATGCCCCCAGGGAGAGCAAGACTAAGACTTCTCTTCACATCCCAGGGCTCCATTTTTTCGCTCTAACAAGATGACCAGCTTGGGCGTAGACACAGCAAGATCTGTTTATTAGGACAGGTGATATGAGATGGCCTGAAGATTCTCAAATTCCCAATACAGTATTGTGTTCAGTAGAGGGGACAGTATAGAAGGTTCTAGAAAAGGATCACTGCAAATACTTTTTTCTGACAGCACCTTTACCAGAAATCATTGAAATTTTCATATCCTAAGAACCATTTCTACACCTCTGAGTCCTAGCATGTGATAGAGAAGCTAGGATTTTGCTTGCAGCCATAACACTTAAGTCACATATTTTCTTGAATGAGCACTCATACAGAGAGCAGGTTGCAGATCATCCTAAGACAGGAGAAATTTAAGCCATGGTGAAACATCATGAGACTTTCCAACAAACCCACACTGTTTTTCTTTAAAATAGGGACTTAAAAGTATCCGACAATCCTGGGCATCCCTGGGCTCATCCACACGTGGTACAGGAAACACTGAGGGCAGGTGAGGAAATCTATAGGGATATTCTCCTCATCCAAGGACACCACATTTCTGTAGGTTTCTAGAACCACGTCCTTGTACAATTTCCACTGTAGCTGGTCCAGGCCCTCCTGCTCCTTGTGTGAGAATTCGATGGCCACATCTCTGAAGGTCAAGGGTTCCTGAAATCAAATTACACAGTTACTATATGGCCACCAGCAGAACTCTAAATAGGACACAAAGTGAAAAGAGAGTTGTGAGGGGCCCCATGGTGGCACTAGGGTTCAGTCTCAGCACTATGAAGCTATGAGAACCACTTAAGGACAAGTTTGATTCCTGGCCAGGGAACTGACTCACATGGCGCAGCAGACCTCTCCTGTCTCGTCCGCTGCTCCCCTCAGCAGTTTATTTCAGTAGATCTGCCTGTTCTGTTCCCACTCTGTCTCTGGTGAATCCTCTCACCCCCCCAAACCCTCACCTTTGGCCCATACCTCACCAATTTATGTATAAGTAAATAAAATAAATCTTAAAAAAATGGGGAGACCTGGTTCTGAGAAAGAAGAATGCCCTTACGCAGTGACATCCATGTTTACACAGCAACAGTCTAATGCACCCACTGAGCCCAGAGGATCACATATGCCCACAAAACCACCATGGACACTATAATTTCAGTGACGTCAAATCTGACCCAGGGCACAACCTGTACAACAAGGAGGCAGGACAATTGGAAAATTCATAGTAGAAACGGAGATGAAAGACTGAAAGGAAATTGTAGGTAATGATCAAATACTAAGCAAAGCGACAACAACAAAAACGATCATTTTAAAGATTTTTTTATGCATGCAACAACTGGGGTACAGGTCAGAGGTGTGGGAGGTGAGAGGAGTCACCAGAGAGACAAAGTGTAGCTCAGAACAGGCAGACTGACCAAAGTACACTGCTGAGGGGAGTAGCGGATGAGACACAAGAGGTCTGCTGCGCCATGGGGCAGCCTCCTGGCCTGCCAGGGATCGAACTTGTGCTGCAGAGGCTGCGGACAACTTCACAGTGCTGTGCTTAGCCTTTGCCCCACCAGGGAGACCCCGTTCCCACAGCTTTCATTAGACTCTTGTATGAACCAGATATAATTCTCTGAGCTTTCAATATACTTTATATTTTATGTGACCATTTCCTCAAACACCCACAATATTACAGACCAGGGTTTTCCCTACAGATCTGAGCTAAAATGAATCAAAGAGGACCCTAAATGAATGAGCACAGCAGGTTTTATAGCCGACAAAAATGGTTTGGTTAAAAAAGGGAAAGACACACGACACAGTATATAATGTTACATTTCAATTAATAAAAATGGGACCACATACACACTACATGGATGAATGTAGTCTTGTCAACGATTCAAGATTATTCAAATACTATGAAGGAAACCAAGCTGTGGGTGATACTATGTGCATACTTCAAACCCACTATGTAGACATACAATGTGAAATCCATTATAATAAAAGCTACTGTTTTTGAGTGTAATTTCTTAAAAAAATTGTTACATTATATAGGTTCAACTATTTTAAAATTTTACTACAATCAGTACATGATAACATTTTTGGTTCATTTCTCTGGAAGTATAAACAAGCTATGAGAGAGAACGTGTGTGAAATGACTGGCATTTCCATGGACATTCACACCGAAAGGAATGAAATAACTGTGACTGTATCATTCAAGTGAAAGAAGGAGGGACCTGAACCCTGAAAATTAAAAAAAAAAAAAACTCTATTAAAGGAAATAAAATACACAGAGAAATACAAAGACGGCCCATCCTCCTAGGTGGGAGAATTAACATCATAAATGGCCTTATTGTCTACAGCAATTTACAAACATATGCAATACCTACCAAATACCAAGGACGTTTTTATAAGGAAATAGAACAATACCCACATATATATGAACCCACAGAAGGTCCCAAATAGCAAAAATCTTGGGAGAAAAGAAGAAAATGTAAGTATCACATTTCCTGACTTCAAAATATATATAACACCAACAGTAATCACAACATTATTTTACCGGATAAAACCAGAACTCAGAGCAATGGAAGGCAACTAAAAACCCAGAGAGCAAATGATATAAATATGAAGAGTTCAATCTTGGACAAAGGAGCTAAAATCATACCATTCAGACAAGACAGCCTCTTTAATAAATAGTACTGGATGGCCCCCTGGTGGCCTAGGGGTTAAGAGTCAGTGCTATCACGGCTATTCTAGGCCAGAGAGCTGACCCACATGTGGCACAGCCGACCTCACCTGTCCCTCTCACTGATTCCCCGAGCAGTGTATTTCAGTGGATCTGCCTGTTCTGTTCCGTACTGTGTTTCTGGCAAATCTTCTCAAACCCTGAACATCTGGTCTACACCCCAGTTCTTCTATACATACATAAATAAATAAATACATATTTTAAAAAAATGGTGCAGGGAAACATGAATAATGACTTGCAAAAATAAGAACCAAGACCCATTCAAAACTCCATACAGGCCTCCCTGGTGGCACAACATATGAAGTTATCCATAGCCACTGCTGCATGAGTTTGATCCCCAGGTAGGGAGCTACCCATATGGTGTAGCAGACCTCTCCTGACTCGTCCGCTGCTCCCCCACCAGTGTATTTCAGTCAGTCTGCCTGTTCTGTTCCTCACTCTGTCCCTGGTTGTGATACCTATTGAATCTTCTCACCCCCCACACCTCCAGCCTGTACCCCAGTTCTTGTATGCATAAATAAATAAATCTTTAAAAGAAAAACTCCGTACAGAAAACTAAATCCAAGTGGATGAAAAGTTTGGACATAAGAACCCAAAGCATGAAGCACTGAAAGAAATAAAAGGATACACTACGGGACAGCTGCTGCAAAATGCACGAGGGAACACAACCCAATGACAAGGGAAACAAAAGCAAGTTTCACAAGTGGGACAATACCAAATCTCAAAGCTTTTAGAACTCAAAAGAAACCAGCACAGAAACAGAAATGCATCCTACAAAATAGAACACACGCAACACATCTGATAAGGGTTCATTCCAAAATTTGTAACGTTCCCACCCAGTGCGAAAAACCAACCAATGAGTCAATGAAAAGAACAAAGGAAATAAACACTTTGCTAAAGAGGAAATTCTGAGGTCCAACAGACATAGGAATGTTCACCTTAATTTATTGTAAGAGAAATGTCAATTAAAACCACACTGAGATGCCACCTCAACACTTGAGAATGGTCCAAATAAAAAAGAGTGAAATGAACAACGCTGGAGAGGGTGGAGAGAAAGGGAGCTCTCACCCATGGCGCCATGAGAGTTGACATCCCTGCAGATAATGGGCAGAGATTTCTTAAAGAAATAAAAATGTAAATTCATATGTCAGCATTATTTCTACAAATTATTTATCCAGGGCCTCCCTGGTGGCGCAGGGGTTAACACGCAACCTATGAAGCAATCCGCAGCCGCTGCAGCACAAGTTCGATTCCTGGCTGGCCAGGGAGCAACCCACATGGCGGACAGACCTCCCCTGTCTTGGCTACTGATCCCCTCAACAGTGTATCTCTCTGTCTGTCTGTTCTGTTCTCACTCCGTCTTTAGTGAATACTCTTGCCTTCCTGTGCATCTGGACTGTACCCCGGTTCTTGAATAAATAAATAAATTTAAATAAATAAATTTAAAAAATAAATAAAAATTTAAAAAAGAATGAATAAATCTTTTGGAAAAAATCAATCAACTTTATTAAAACCTGCATTAGGTTCACATATAGCATAAATATTTAAATATCACTGTATGCTCCATGTTGAAAATAAAAATGCAGGCATTTAAGAAGAATTCTTGTTCTTTTGAAACCAGGATCCTAAGTTGGTGGTCAACAGAGTCATTACTTAGCTACTGTGCATGCACAAATTCTATACCCAGTACGGGACAGTCACCTGTTCTGTCATCATGTGTCTGTGAAGATTCTTTTGGCAATGATATCAAATAATATCATCTCTCTATTACTACCATAAAGAAACATCACAATTTTAATAAACTGTGCATTCCGCAAGGAGTCCATCGTGATATGATTTGACATGTTCCTCTGTCTGACTTCAATGGCAACATTAAGGCCCAGAACACTTCTTGTGAATTAGATCAATGGTTGATCAACCAGAAGCAGCATGCCATTCATATGTTCCTGATACATGGCACATTACTGTCCTAAATTTACCCTGCAAGTTAGATATAAACAATTCATCGACTAGGACAGTCTCTCAGATGTT